AGTCAGCAGCCCCCGTCCGTCCGCCCGCCCTGTCAGCTGGGCGCGGGGCGCCCCGGTTCCAGCCCCGCGTCCCGCAAGCCGGGCCAACGGGGCAGCCCCGCAGCGCCGCCTAGCGGCCACAGGTGCAACCGGCAGGCCCAGTGTGGCCTTGGGGGCGCAGGGGGTGGGCTTGGGGCTGGCAGGATCTGTACTGGCGGGACTGGGAGGCTGGTCCCGGCCTGTGTGGGACCAGGACAGCCCCTGGGAGGGCTCAGCCTGGTCTGGGAGGAAAACCCAGCGATTTGGTCCGTGCGAGCCGTTTTGAGGCTAAAAATGAGGGGTTTTGACTAATTGGGGCCTCAATCAAAGGCTTCTGGGGGGAGGGAATTGGCTCTTGGGGGTCTGATCCACTCGGGTTTGGGGCAAAAAGAGGGAAACTGGCTTTTTTAGGGACCAGTTGGGGCATTTGGGGTGAAACTGGGGGAAATAGACCAATTTGGGTCCAAAATTGTATCTAAATTGGCCCATTTCCCCCATTTTCACTCCCAAATGGCTCGAATTGCACCCAGAGTGGCTGATTTCTTCATTGTTACCCCAAAATGGACCAAAAGAGTCTCAAATTGCTCAATTTCCCCTATTATCACCCCAAAATGGCTCAAGGACATTGCTCAATTTCCCCATTTCCACTCCAATTCCAGCAGTTTTCAGACAAAAATGGGGAATTTTTAAGTCCAATTCGAGCCATTTGGGGGTGAAATAAGGAAACTGCTGTAATTCAACTCAGATTCCCCAATTTGGGGGCTAAAATGGAGAAACTGGCAAATTTTATTTAAACTAGGGCAATTTGGGGGCAAAAATGGGAAAACAGCCAATTTAGTACCAATTTGGGTCATTTTTGGATGATAATAGGGAAACTGCTCTAATTTGGACTCAGATTGGCCAGTTTGGGGGCTAAACAAGGAAATCTTCCAATTTGGGTCAAATTTGAGCCACTTGGGGAAAAAATGGGGAATTCGGCCAATTATTTTTAGACTGGAACACTTTGGGGGCAAAAACAGGGAAAAGCAGCCAATGTGGTTCCAATTTGAGTAATTTTAGGTTGAAATGGGGAAAAAGGGCCAATTTGTGTTGAATTAGATCAACTGTGGGGCAAAAGAGAAGCAATTTGGTCATTTTCAGATCATCTTCGGTCATAAAGGTGGGAAGTATTTGAATTGGGCCCAAAATGGCCAAACTCCTGATTTTCTTCATTTTACCCCAAATAGTTCAAATTGGATCCACATCCAGCCCCAGTTGGGGCCAAAATATGGAAAGAATTGGCCGATTTTCATCCATTTCTGAGCTATTCGAGGGCAAAAAGGAAGAAATGGGCCAGTCTGGGTCCAGATTAAGCCATTTTGGGGCAAGGGGAAAAATTGGCCAGTTTGGGGGCCAAAAGGTGGGAAATTAGCTAATCTTGATCCAGTCTAAAGAATTTGGAGTAAAAAATGGGGACATTGGCTAAAATGGCTCGAATTCCAACCCTTTCCCCTTTTAGGCCTTGAACTAGACTGAAACAGGCCAGTTTTGACCCAAAATTGTTCTAATTTGACACACATGGGCCAATTTCCCCCATTTTGGCCCCAAGAATGGCTCAAAAATGAACCTAGAACTGGCCAATTCTGGTTCACTTCTGAGCATTTTGGGGGCCAAAATAGAGAAAATGGGCCAATTTGGGTCTAATTCAACCCATATTGGGGGCAAACGGAGAGATCTGGCCTCTTGCAGTCTCTCTTGAGCTTTCTGGAGGCAAAAAGTGCAAAATAGGTTCTTTTGGGTCTATTTTTAGCCATCTGGGGAAAAAAACCAAAGAAATTGGCCAATTTGGGGCCAATTCGAGCAGGTTTGGGGGCAAAAATGGGCCAAATTGGGGCCAATTGGAGTAGGTTTGAGGCAAATATGAGCCAATCTGGGATCAATTGAGGTAGGTTTCAGGCAAAAATGGGCCAATTCAAGGCCAATTAGAGCATGTTTGGGGGCAAAAATGAGCCATTTGGGAGCAAAAGTGAGGGATTTGGCCCATCTGAGTCCATCATGAGCCATTTTGGGGCCAAAAGAATGAGGAAATTAGCCCCTTTCCCTGGTTTTCCTTCCCCAGGTCTTGCTTACTTCCACACCCTGGTCCCAGCCAATCGTTAACAAGACCTCATTAACCCGGTTATAAACTCCTGCAAGAGCGTTTCAGGCTGGACGTAAGTGTCATTACCCAATGATTGTGTGTGTGTAAGGAAGAATTTCTTCACTGTCTGAGCCCCGAGGTCTGGAATAGCCTGCCACCGGGGGTGGTGCAAGCACCCGCTTTGAACACCTTCAAGAGAAATGTGGATGCCTATCTCGCCGGGATCCCATGACCCCAGCTGAGTTCCTGGCCCCGGGGCAGGGGCTGGATTCCATGATCCTCCAGGGTCCCTTCCTGCCCCAATGTCTATGAAATCTATGAAACCCGTGACCCCAGGTGACCTGCACACATATATCTGTACTCGCATACACACGCACCCATAGGTACCCATGGGTGTCTGCACACATGTTCACACATGTACCTATAGGAACCCCCTGTTCTCGTATGTACACACATACTCACGTTTCTGTGTGCATTTGCACACATGCATATGTGTACTCACATGTTCCTATGTGTACACACATACCCATAGGTACCCATGTGTGCCTGTACTCATGTACATGCATACTTGTGTTTCAATGTGCACCTGCACACATGTATATCTGTATTTATGTGTTCCCACATGTACACACATACCCTTAGGTACCCATGTGTCTGTAAACATGTTTGCACACGTATCCATAGGACCCCATTTGCACCTATACGCATATGTACACACGTACTCATGTTTCCATGTGCTCCTGCACACATGTACATGTGTACTTAAGTGCGCACACATACCAATAGGTATCCATGTGTGCCTGTACACGTGTTTGCACATGTACCCATATAACCCTATAGGCTGGGGAACACCCTTCTTGTCAACGTAGTGACAGAAAGGGATCTTGGAGTCATTGCTGACTCCAGGATGAACATGAGCCACCAATGCGAGGAAGCTAACCGCACCTACAGATGCAGCTCAAGCAGGTCCAGAGAGGTGATCCTCCCACTCTATGCGGCGCTGGTCAGGCCGCAGTTGGAGTGCTGCGTCCAGTTCTAGGTGCCGCACTTCGGGAGGGATGTGGCTAACCTTGAGAGGGTCCAGAGGAGGGCCAGTCGCATGGTCAGGGGGCAGCAGGGCAGGCCCTACGAGGAGAGGCTACGGGACCTGAACCTGTTCAGCCTCCACAAGAGAAGGCTGAGAGGGGATCTGGTGGCCGTCTACAAACTCACCAGCGGGGACCAGTGGGAATTGGGGGAGGCTCTGTTCCCCCAGCTCCTCCCGGGGTTACTAGGACTAATGGGCACAAGTTGTTAGAGAGCAGGTTCAGGCTGGACATCAGGAGACATGACTTTACGGTGAGGGCTGCCAGGCTCTGGACTGGGCTCCCAAGGGAGGCGGTGCTCTCCCCTGCCTCGGGGGTCTTCCAGAGGAGGCTGGACAGATACTTGGCTGGGGTGATATGACCCGGCACCCATTCCTGCCCGGGGCAGGGGGTCAGACCTGATGATCCCTTTAGGTCCCTTCCGACCCTAAGCACTATACTATGACCCCATGCGCACCTATACTCACATGTATACATGTACTCATATTTCTGTGTGCACCTGCACACATGTATATTTGTGTTTATGAGTTCTCATGTGTATGCATGTACCCATAGGCACCCATGGGTGTCTGTACATGTGTTTGCACACGTGCCTGTAGAAAGTCACATGTGCCTGTACTCATAGAATCAGAGACCGTGAGGGCTGGAAGGGAGCTCAGGAGGTCACATCTGGTCCAACCCCTGCTCCAAGCGGGACCAGCCCCAACTCCATCATCCCAGCCAAGGCTTCATCCACCCTTGAAGGGCTTCAACACCGCCAAGGACGGAGATCCCATAATCCCTCTGGGCAGCCCATTCCAGCACTTTCCCACCTTCCTTGTCAGAGAGTTTTTCCTAATATCCAACCTCAACTTGCTTTGCTGCAGCCTGAGCCCATTGCTCCTTGTCCTGTCATCTGGCACTACAGGTCACGTGTACAAGCGCCTACTGAGAACAGTCCAGCTCCATCCCCTTTGCAACCACCCTGCAGGCCGCTATTCAGTTCCCCCCACCACCCCTCGGTCTTCTCTTCTGCAGCCTCAATGATCCATTTCCCTCAGCATCTCCTCACACATCATGTCCCCCAGCTCCCCAATGATTTTTGCTGGACTCTCCCCAGTCCTTTCTGTAGTGGGGCCCACAGCTGGACCCAGCACTCCAGATGTGGCCTCCCCAGTGCTGAATAGAGGGGGAGAATCTCTGACCTCCACCTCCTGGCAATAATTAGCCCTGCTCGTTAGCAACCAGGATACCCTATTGGCTTCTATCCAGCTTCTTGCCCCCGTGTCCCAGCACACAGGATTGTCCTGTCCTAAGTCCAAAAATGCAGTTGCTAACAGACATATTTGGAGTATACGTAGCACAGAGAGTGACGGGTTAATAACGAGGCATTAATTACCTGCTCTTAATTGTCAGCTGTGTTGTGGCTGTGCTAATGTATATCATTATTAAATGGTATATATACAGCATGTGCATGAGTTACATGTGAGCTGTTTTATGTGTCACAGGCTCTTCACTCGCATGGGGTCAGATACCCACTTCCAAGTCTTCGTTCTGTGTTCTCTGGATGCTCGGTATGACAGGTAACACTCGTGTTATTGTGTGTTATGACGTGACATGGGTATTACATGTGTCATATATGGCACATGCTATTGTGTGTTATTGCGTCATGGGTATTGCATGCATGCATGTCATGTTTGTCATGCTATTGTGTTTCATTACATGGCATGGGTATTGCATGTCATATCCAGCACACACTATTGTGTGTTGTATCATGGGTAGTACATGTATGCATGTCATACAGCACATGTGCTGTTCCATGATATGTCATAGGTATTGCATGCATGTGTGTCATATACAGCGCATGCTATTGTGTGTTCTTACATGTCATGGGTGTTACAGGGCTGTCATATACAGTACATGCTACTGTGTGTTATGTCATAGGTATCACATGCATGTGCGTGTCCTATAGGGTACCTGCGCTATTGTGTGCTATTATGTGTCATGGGTGTTATATGTATGCACGTTGTACAGTATATATACATATGTATATGAATGCACGTGTTGTACAGCACAAGTGCTATTCTGTGTTATGTCATAGGTATTGCATACATGTGTGGCATATCTAGATCACGTGCCATTGTGTATTATTACATCACAGGTATTAAATGTGTGTCGTATATGGCATGTGCTACCGTGTGTTATTACATCAGGCATTACATGCATGCGTGTATACTATAGGATGCATGTACTATTTTCTGTTATGGCTCATGGGTACTACATGCATGTGGCACATACAGCATATGCTATGGCGGGTTATTACATCATAAATTTTACATGAACGTTTAACGTGTGTGCAAGTCACCAATGGTATACATACTATTGTATGTTATTACATCACAGGTATGGCATGCAGGTGTGTGTTATACATGTCATGGGCGTGAGATGCATACACGTGCTATGACGTACTTTGCTGTCATAGCTAGGCCATACTCGCGCGTGCACACGCTACCCGCCCCCC